AGGAGGGATAATATATGGCAAGTTCTTTGTTCACTGCTTAGTACTCTTTAAAAAAAATAATAAAATTTATTGGAAAAACCAATCTTAGCCAATCATGAGGGGAATCAAAAACAAGAAGGGGATATCCTTTTATTTGACATTATTTAGAAATGTCTCTCCAAGGCCGGGCGCGGTGGCTCAAGCCTGTAATCCCAGCACTCTGGGAGGCCGAGGCGGGTGGATCACGAGGTCAAGAGATCGAGACCATCCTGGTCAACATGGTGAAACCCCGTCTCTACTAAAAATACAAAACATTAGCCGGGCATGGTGGTGCGTGCCTGTAGTCCCAGCTGCTCAGGAGGTTGAGGCAGGAGAATTGCCTGAACCCAAGAAGCGGAGGTTGTGGTGAGCCGAGATCGCGCCATTGCACTCCAGCCTGGGTAACATGAGTGAAACTCCGTCTCAAAAAAAAAAGATGAAAAACACTGTTATATTTGTCTGCCTGTTTGTTAGGAACAGTATGGAGACCACAGACAGATGTGTCTTAGGAAATGATGAGACAGTGGGCTTCCTCCATAGTGATCCTGAACAATTTAACTTTTACTCTAAGGTAAAATTTTGTAATCAAAAAGGGCAGTAGTGTTATGTGCTGTTTTCGTTTTCTAGAAGAAAATAAGATTCAAATAAAACAAACATAAAACAGTGAATTGGACACTCATGCCTTAAAGTCTTTTTAAAGGAAATATTATAAAATATTAACTTCCAATCAATAATATAAACCACAAAGAGGAGGACAAGAGTAGATAAGCATGTATATATAAAAAGAAAAATTCTGAAAATGTTCAAAAACCAAAACAAAATTTATCAGTAGCAGACTTAATAGAAGAAAAGAAATCAGATTTAAGGGCTATCAAATCCCGGACCAGAAAGAAAAAAAAATCTTGTATTCAGTTACCATGGCTGCTTAACTTAGTCTACAGAGGATAAGGAAAATACATTATACACTATTATTAATCTCTGAACACAACTTTCATTATTTAAATAATGTTGATGAAAATAATTTTAAAACTGTACAGTGTTCACACATATAGAATATACACCCCTGAAAATGCATCAGTGCTACCCTTAGATTTTTTTCCTGTCTATATAATAATTGTTTGCATCGGAGGTTGAGATTTGGACTTTTCAGTTTGCGCATTTTTCAAGTCGAATAACAGACATTCATATGGAAACTATGAGCATTGCTTCATCAAGTCTCCTTTTACTTAGCCCTTCCCTTCGTGTCACTGGCTTTATCTGTACTAGATTTAAAGTGGCCACATTTTCTTTGCTCTCCCTTCCATCACAAAGTAAACGCCGGGCGCGTGGCTCACGCCTATAATCCTAGCACTTTGGGAGGCCGAGGCGGGTGGATCATGAGGTCAAGAGATCAAGACCATCCTGGTCAACATGGTGAAACCCCGACTCTACTAAAAATACAAAAAATTAGCTGGGCATGGTGGCGCGCGCCTGTAATCCCAGCTACTCAGGAGGCTGAGGCAGGAGAATTGCCTGAACCCAGGAGGTGGAGGTTGCCGTGAGCCAAGATTGCGCCATTGCACTCCAGCCTGGGTAACAAGAGCGAAACTCTGTCTCCAAAAAAAAAAAAAAAAAAGAAAGAAAAAGAAGTCAAAACTACTTTCCTCGCCCTTTAGTGTGGGCCAGCAAAGTGACTTGCTTCCACGAGCAGCTTCCTGTCTTGCTCTCGCGAAATACCGCGGTCTGTGAAGAGGCCTGGGTGAGGCTCTTTCAGGAAGACAGGCTCTGCGGAGTGAGAGCCAGCACCACGGGACCAGGGAAGCGCCCTGCTTAGGGCACTCTGCCCCACGTTTTCAGGTGACGCAGCTGCTGCAGCGACCCGCGCAAGGCCCGCAGATCGGTCCATCTGAGCCCGGCCCAAATTGCCAGCACAAAATAAATTCATCCCCGCGCCCACACCAGAGGGTTCCCAGCATCTGAGGAGATGGCCTTATCCCTTTTATTATCTGTTCTGCCTGAAACACTCTGCATGTCTTTGATGCTCTTTACTCCTCTGACGTGGTTTCTGGACCTTGCATTTACTTGCTTACTCTTCTCTGGACACGTTCAGGCTAGCCACATTTCTTTGTAAATTGTGTGGCAGTCACAATTGAAACAGTGTTTCAAAGATGATTTGCCTCCTTTAACCTAGAGTCTTGCTGCTTTTCCCTACAGCCCCTTCCCTCCTAATGAGCCCTATGGGCACTCACTCGCTTCCTCGTCTCTTTCCTGCCCCGCTTCTCAGCCCCTCCCCCAGAGGCAACAGTTTTCACACCCCTCAGAGACTAAGTCAAACTTGCAGTACTCCTTTGCATCACTATCCCCGGTTCCCGACCCCTTCTCTCAGCTCTTTGCTGGGCCAGCTTTTTCCGCTGTGGACTATGCTGGCTGTGCCAGGTCTGGCTCCTTTGGGTGGACCACAAATTCTTTGAAAGCAGCTATTTTCTGTACCTTAACGCTTCACCTGGCACTTGGCACATGTTAAGTACTCAATAAATGTTTAGTGGGTTGGATAATTAACTAATATTCTTTTGGTATTAAAATATATTATCTACCGGCCTGCATTTTCCCACAAGGCGATTAAGGGAGACTGGAGACTGTCAGATTCCCGTTCAAACCAAGATAGTATGTTCGTTGAATTTCCCTGTGTTCATTGAAAAAGAAAATGCATTTTGTTTGGAATTACTTTTTCAGCGATCTATGCTGCCTTCTCTCTTTTTTTTTGTTTTTGTTTTTTTTCTTGTTGTTGAGATGGAGTCTTGCTCTGTAGCCCAGGCTGGAGTGCAGTGGCGTGATCTCAGCCCACTGCAACCTCTGCCTCCTGGGTTCAAGCAATTCTCCTGCCTCAGCCTCCCGAGTAGCTGGGATTACAAGTGCCTGCCACCACACCCGGCTAATTTTTTATCTTTAGTAGAGACGGTGTTTCACCATGTTGGCCAGGCTGATCTCGAAATCCTGACCTAATGATCAGTTGCCTTGGCCTCCTAAATTGTTGGGATTACAGGCATGAGCCACTGCACCCTGCCCTATGCTGCCTTCTTTTTAAATGCTATCAAGCTTCCGAAAAATTCTGGCAAATATTTAGTTACCATTTCTGGAATGTATATTCGCTCATTTTTTTAAAAATGGAAGCATTTACTTTAGTTTTGTCCTTCACCTCCCTCTTGTTCATTGCAATACCTCAAGGACTACTTGACATGCACGCTCCAATGTGTTTATTACCGTGGCATATAAACAGTCTGGGTTGGTAAATTTGGCTTCATTATTATAATAGGACTTTACTTTTGTAAAGTGCCTTACTGGGTACAAAATGTTTTCCCATACCTGACCTCATTTCAGTCTGATGAGAAGCTCTTTTTAAGAGGTAGGGATAATCATCTGTTTTTCACAGTTAAGAAAACAGAAGCTCCCAAGTCTGTCAGAGCACCTGAAGTGCTTACTCTATCTGTGGCTCCAAGGCCTGTTCATCCTGTTCTTCCCAGATTAAAGATCATTCTGCTCCAGGGAGAAGACCAACAACAAAAAAGATGCTGAATAGCTTTGCTTTCTCTTTGCATTTCCTGCCTGCCCTTGTCATTCTCCAACCTTTTTTCCTCCAATTAAAAGATATCTTCTTGGCTGGGTGCGGTGGCTCACGCCTGTAATCCCAGCATTTTGGGAGGCCAAGGCGGGTGGATCACGAGGTCAAGAGATCGAGACCAGCTCAGCCAACATGGTGAAACTCTGTCTCTACTAAAAATACAAAAATTAGACAGTGTGGTGGTGCACGCCTGTAGTCCCAGCTACGTGGGAGGTTCAGGCAGGAGAATCACTTGAACCCGGGGGCACGGGGTGGAGGCTGTGGTGAGCCGAGATCGTGCCACTGCACTCCAGCTTGGTGATAGAGCAAGACTCTGTTTCAAAAAAAAAAAAAAAATCTTATTCTGAACATGGGCATGTGACTATATTTTGTGTTTGTTGGCTGGATTTGTTTTAAAGGTAGAGTTATGCTGGTGAGTGCTGTAGGGAAAGGGAAGAAGGCACAGTGCTAGGTGTTTCTCCACATTATTAGACCATCATCATCATCATCTAGCAATACAGGTGACACTGTCCTCAATTTTTACAGATGAGGAAAGGAAGCTCAGAGATGTCTCCAGTTCTTATGGAGCATGATATCCTATAGAGCATAACCTTCTGCCAAAAGATAGTACAAGTAAAGATTTCAAGTGGAAACATCTTCTCTTTGAAGTTTTTTTGTACAGAACTTAATAAGCATATTCATTTTGTCTTTGATTTAAAGGGGAGCTTTAAATCATTTTAAAGGGGAGCTCCATGATGATGTTTCTGTTTGCTGTGATATTTCCAACTTAGAGTGATGGAGGGTAGGAAGGGAGGGGATAGGGGTTCTATCTCTTTCCTTCTCTAGTTGTGCTTTTCTCCCATTTGGCTCAGGTCATCATTAAAACATGACCATGTTACCTAATAAAGTAGAGCACATGCATCACTTACCCAGAGTTCATACTCTGTCCTTACAGAGAACAGAGCTCCAAGAAAATGGGCCAGCTCAGAGTTTAGGGGGCTGAGGGAAGGGCTGCAGTGTGAGGGTCTGGTACCCATGGGCAGTCTTGGGCAGGGGCACTGGTGCCTCAGAGAGGAATGGTGCCCAGGAGGAAAGTCACCAGGCCCCCAACGGAGCTTTAGTTTCTTCTTGAGTCAGTCCTGGCTGCTGCAGAAGTCAGCGGCAGTGACTGTACCTCTTAGTTTCAAGGACTGGCAGCACACACTGCCGCCTCTCAGCCCTCTCCCGCTTCCTGTTAAGCAGTGATGCCTTCTAGAGATAATAAGCATTTTAAACTGCATTTTAACAACTCCAAACCTGGTGGTCTCAGAATTATGAACTGCTAAATGTTAGAGATGTAAGAAAATGATTTCTACTGTGACTATACATAATTTTTAAAAAATCTCTCTCTCTCTTCACTTTCCAGACAATTGCAGCATGACTTTCCCAGGGCCCTGATTTTCAGCACAGATGATTTTTTCTTCAGGGAAGATGGTGCCTATGAGTTCAATCCTGACTTCCTGGAGGAAGCTCATGAATGGAACCAAAAAAGAGGTGACAAATTCTTTTCCAAACTCCTGGGAAACCCCAATGTGCACATAGATTGTGGCTGCTGCAGAATGAATAAATTTTATGGAAGGAATTTAACTGAAAGTTCTGCCATTTTTTTCCCCCAAAACAGAACATCAGAGCATAACCTCCTTAGATTCCAGGAGAAAGAAAATTATTGATAGTGGGCTCTGAAATAGGTGGCACTGAAGTTGTGTGAGGAGGAGATGAGGGCATCCTATAAGAAAAATGACAAATAGGGATTGCGCTCACCCTTCCCTCTGATTGTTGCATGTTGCTCACTGTTATATAACATTGTGTTGCAGCAAGAAAAGCAATGAGGAATGGCATATCCCCCATTATTATTGATAATACCAACCTCCACGCCTGGGAAATGAAGCCTTATGCAGTCATGGTAGGAAGAAGTATCATTCTGAATTTTCAGTTATGGACATTTTGTGAGAAAGTTGAAGCATCTGTTCTTTCCTCTTTTTCTGATCTTCCATGATTTCATATTTGCTAACAGTAGTTCTCCCAGGGAGAGGTGAAGAGGTTTTATTTTAGTGTTTCTCTGCTGTTCAATGACTGAAATTTGCTGAGATGCCAGTCTCGCTTGAGGATACAATTTAAAAATAGTCCTTGGCAAATGGTCCTTGGTGTGAATTCTTGATAACTTTTCTGTCTTAATTACTTTCCTAAGGCGAGGCATACAGAGGAGCACCCACTGAAATGTGCAGAGCAATACTGAACTAGATGACGCTCCTAGTGGAGTTACAGGTCACAACAGGACCGTTCTGCCTCTGGTGAGCCGGGGATTTCCACACTGTGTACTGTTGCTGCCTGGGAGTTCCAGGGCAACGGAATATTTTAGTTTAAAAACGGATTTAGGGCCGGGTGTGGTGGCTCATGCCTGTAATCCCAGCACTTTGGGGGGCCGAGGCGGGCGAATCACTTGAGGTCAGGAGTTTGAGACCAGCCTGGCCAATATGGTGAAACCCCGTGTCTAATAAAAATACAAAAATAGCCGGGCGTGGTAGGCGCCTGTAATCCCAGCTACTCGGGAGGCTGAGGCAGGAGAATTGCTTGAACCTGGGAGATAGAGGTTGCAGTGAGCTGAGATCGCACCACTGCACTCCAGCCTGGGCGACAAGAGTGAAACTCCGTCTCAAAAAAAAAAAAAAAATTAAATTAAAAATTATTTAAAAATTAAATAAAAACAGATTTAGGATTAACACTGTAACCTTATTGAGATGGTAGAATGCAAATATAAATAACAAAATAACTCAGCTCTCCATTGTCAGAATAGCAAAGAACAGTATGATGCATGTAACAACAGTGCGTACATTATCCTTTAGTTGTGAAGTCTATTTGGTCTTTTTCCATACATATTCCATCTCTTGTGATAATGTTTTCTTTCCCTATTGGGTCTAGAAAGGAGGATGGATCCAGAACCATACAGATGGTGCAGGAAGCAGACAGTGGAGTATCCTCCTAGCATCATGCAGAGTGTCCACCCAGTTAAATTGTGCAGTGAATAGCTCCAGACAGGGATCATGATTTTAGGCTTCTTTTTACATTTGGGTGAACTGGCATACCTACAGGTGTGCTTTTCGCTAATGATACACTCATCAGTTCCACTGATGTCCAGATTGTGGGGCTTTGGTGAGTGTAAGGAAGAATGAGCCCCAAACTTGTGGTTACTTCAGCTCATGTGGAGTCTACTTGGGCAGGAAATGAACAGGCAAGGGAAGAGCCAAGTGAATGAAAGCCACCACTTTCAACCAAGTGACAAGTAGCCTAAGGGAAGTCATTTTACTTTTGTTTTTGTTTTCTTTTAAGACAGAGTTTCACTCTGTTACCCAGGCTGGAGGGCAGTGGCATGATCACAGCTCACTGCAGCCTCTGCCCCACCGCGTTCAAGCAATTCTCCTGTTTCAGCCACCCGAGCATCTGGAACTATAGGCGCGTGCCACTGTACCTGGCTAGTATTTGTATTTTTAGTAGAGATGGGGATTTGCCATGGTGGTCAGGCTGGTCTCGAACTCCTGAGCTCAAGTACTCCACCCGCCTTGGCCTCCCAAATTGCTGAGATTATAGGTGTGAGCCACCATACCTGGCCTCATTTTATTTTTTATCTTCTGGATATGTATAATCTTTTTCAGCCATCCTCAGGTATTAATTAGACTCAGAAATGAGAGGTTTCCGGTTGTGTTATTTAAATCCTTCCCAATTGAGAAGTGCTCATCTAAAGAATGAAGAGGAAACCTTTTTGCTTAGCTATTTTCACTCTAAATAAACACAATAAATTATAGTGATAATAGAAAATTCAGTTTGAGATAAGGTAGTAGACAATTTACAAATGCAAAGAATATTTGGGTGTTCATATGGAAATTATAATAGTTTTCTAAACTCAAGGAAATGGGGCCCAGTACATTGAGCCAAATTGTACAGCATAGTGGGGAGAGCTACTTTTGGAGGGAAGATAATGTAAAGTAGGTGACTATCACTTTTATTTCACCAGTTATGTTCCTATGGTACTCTCACTTTCTAAAGCAAGGAATGAGGAGTAGGAGCAGGCATCTGACAAGTAAATCTACAAAAATCCTGTAAGTGACTTTGAGAAGTCACTGAGTTCATTGCTCATACCTGTGTTTAGGACATTTTAAACTAGCTAAGTCATCTATTTTTAAAGATGCCCAAAGCAAAGATCCTTTACAAATTTCCTGCATACTAGATAAAATTGACCAAAATTTATCATTGAGAATTATGAGAGTGGCTACAGATGGGAATGAGACAACTGCATTTATTATGATAAATTAGGGCACTGGATTGCTCATAAAACAAAAGGAATTCTAGAAAAGAGTTGTAGTAAATGTTAAATGGCAGCATAAACATTCCCAAACATACATACTATGTCTTCAATGTTTTATGTACTTTTGAAAAATCAGGCACTTGAAAATAACTATGAAGTTATATTCCGAGAACCTGACACTCGCTGGAAATTCAACGTTCAAGAGTTAGCAAGGTACTTCTTTGTTTTTCTAGTTTCTCATTATGTATCCTGCTATTTTCAGGTATTTCAGACCGAACAAAAGAATCTTTTCAGGCTGGAAATGGACATGGTAGTTTTCAGGCCAGAAATGGTAATTCTTGGAAATTGATAACTTTGGAATTATTAATATGAAGACTTAGTTTTGGGTCAGTTTTCTAATATAATGCTAAATGCTAAATCTTGGCTTGGACTTAGTCCTTTAAAAGGATGCACTTAACATTCTGCTAAAATGCTTCTTCATTAAGGAACATTTAAAAGGCTTTCTCTGCATGGGACTGCACATGTCAATGGTGTTTTTGCATTTAGGCTAAAGATCTTTAGATGTTGAGCAGCCTGTGGTTCATTTATGATCTAGATGCTGCTTCTAATTAATAAAGCAGTAAATGTTCAAATAATACTAACTTGTTGATTGAATGCATGGGTTCGGATAGTCTCTATCTGTATTATTTGATAATGTCTGTGACTTAAAATAGCCAGTGAGATAAGAATTTACTTCTTAGGAGTAAGGCTGGTTCCTCTTTTGGTAATAAGCAGAGTGTTTTCAAAGTAGATCTGTGGGCTACTCCATCAGAATTGCCTCAGGTGGTTATTAAAATGCTAGTTCATGGACCCCCATTCAGTAGTTGGAATCTCTGGTAATTATATTTCTCACTATACCCCCAGTTGATTCTTATGCCCACTAGAATTTAAGATTAAATAAGCATCTCCTAGAAGTATGTAACAGGGACTGATCGACATAAATAGGTGATAGATACATGCATGACATTAACAGGCAGGTGTATGATTTTAAAAAAAATCTCATGGTGTTCTTTTATGTCTTGAAGCACGTAATTGAGAGGACCAGAAAAAAGCATTTCTGAAGCTTTAGCTCCTTGCTAGCCTCAGAGTGGTTTGGGGGTGTGCAGGGCAGCATGAAAAACATGAGTGGGGGCTGAAAGAGAACTGCTGAACAAGACATTATACTTTTGCCAGAGCTAAGTCCTGAGAACACAGACTGCAATATTTGCAATACTTGAGGACTTGTAAAACATAAGTAATTCATTATGATATTCTGCCTTAACTAAATGCATTTTTTTCCCATATAGAAGAAACATTCATGGTGTCTCAAGAGAAAAAATACACCGAATGAAAGAACGGTATGAACATGATGTTACCTTTCACAGTGTCCTTCATGCAGAAAAACCAAGCAGAATGAACAGGAACCAGGACAGGAATAATGCATTGCCTTCCAACAATGCCAGATACTGGAATTCCTACACAGAGTTTCCATACCGGAGGGCTCATGGAGGATTCACAAATGTGAGCTCCTATAACAGAAGGGGCGGTTGTCACCATGGAGATTAGAGGCCTATCTTATACCCATTCAGAATTTTCCCAAGTCAGTTTCTACTTCGGTTTTTATTATTTATTCTTTGTGGCATTTTAGTCAGAGTTCCAATTCCAGTGTAAATAGCTGAACTTAAAAGTTTCTGAGCAAAGTCATTATATTATCTTCACCAAAATTTGTTAAAGTGCTTCTATATGCATGGTCTGATGCTGGGAATTCTGCAGGTTTGATTAAACAGTCTCTTTCTCTAGGGAGATAATTTGAAACCAAAACTTGAGAACACACCCAAGAACATAATTATTTACATAGTTTCATAGATGAAATAAAGTGTTTATATTACATATAAGCTTCAGTACCATTTTCTCTGAAGTGATCTATTTATTTTTTCAAGAAATTCATCTCCATCAAGAAAGTTGGGAAGGTGGAGAGAAGTGGTTGTGGGGGCGGGGGTGGGGGGCAGGAGAAGTTTGGGTGCCATTGCTACTTTGATCATCTATGTATCTAAAAATGTAAGATGTGCGACTCTTATGATGATACTGATTTTCCTTTAATATTAGTATGCCAGAAAGTATACATCTAAGGGAACACTGTCCTTCAAAGTAGGCACTTTGGGAGGTTATTCCTGTAATTATGTATCATTGTTAAAAATGCTGTCAAATCCTTAAGAGCTATAGGAGCTAGAGGGAAATCAGTGTCCTTACTTAAAAGTCACACCCTCTGTTCTTACTACCACTTTATTTAGCAGGATTACACCTCAATAACTTTTGGCTGCTGTGCTAATAGTGTAAATAAAATAAGGCTGCCTTCATAAAACACTTTTTAAATGAATAAACAACTTCTAAAATTATGCCTATTAACATGTGTAATTAGTTGGCAGCTCAAATGTTTGGGAGTGCAAGAAATTAAGCACCCCAGGATATAGGTCATACAGGTATATAAAAGCCATGCTCATTGCAAAATGAGCAGTTGATGTTTTATGTGGCATTATTTAAGACAATAAAGTCCTCATAACTCTGGAATGTCTTCTTATACTGACATGGAATTTATGAATCTAAATTAATTTCCAACAGGTTGGGGAAACAGATGTGAGACCATGATAGATAAGACCGCAGAGGATGTATGCTCTATATCTTGTTAGCCAACAGCTTCTTTTTAATGTTCTGTGAAAACTTTTAAGTGTCCTATATATTGGTGCTTTTATGGTTATTAAAAATGGTAAATGGTATCACATTTATATGGATTTGTCATTGGATTTTTTGGTTCAACAATAAAAAAATTTAATTACCTAAATGCCAAGAAACTCACCAATATACCAGTTTTTCTGTATGACAGGCTTGTCAGTCTTTTTTTTTTTTTTTTTTTAATAAATGGAAGCATAAAGGTAATGACAAAAGCAATCTTATAATTTACTTGCTTATATGTTTGATCTGCAAACATGAGACTGTTTTAACATTATCTGACACTACTGAAACCTGCTCAACATCTCTATGACTACCAGCAACATGAATAATGTTTTCTTCATTAATATTTAAAAAACTGCTATTTCCTTTGAGTAACAGTTTGGCTGACAATATAATAGCAAATCCCAATGAATCTAAGGTATTACTAGTTTTGCTAAATTCTACATCTCCAGGCACAACATAATCATCCCCTAATGGTCCACTTAATAATGCTCCCATTTTCCAGGCCCAGGTAATCCTGGGTATCTTGGTTGATAGGATGGTTGCATAACCAGCTCTCAATATAGATAGCTTGACTCATCTGGGCGAGGTGAGGGGAGAAATGTTAGAGAGCCCAAAGTGGAAATTACCCTCCTTTGATTCTACAAGAGTGGTTCAAAGGACCAGATTCAGGCCCTCCTGACTTGGCTGGCTCCCTGCTTTAGGGTTTTTGGTTCACCTGGGTTGAGGGAGTGATCATTATGGAGAAGTGGCTTTGGGTTATCTAACTTTTAGAAAGCTCTAGTTTCCTGGCTTATTTATTTATTATTTATTTATTTATTTATTTTGAGATGGAGTTTCACTCTTGTTACCCAGGCTGGAGTGCAATGGCGCAATCTCGGCTCACCGCAACCTCCGCGTCCTGGGTTCAGGCAATTCTCCTGCCTCAGCCTCCTGAGTAGCTGGGATTACAGGCATGCACCACCATGCCCAGCTGATTTTTTGTATTTTTAATAGAGACGGGGTTTCACCATGTTGACCAGGATGGTCTCGATCTCTTGACCTCGTGATCCACCCACCTCGGCCTCCCAAAGTACTGGGATTACAGGCGTGAGCCACCGCGCCCGGCCGGCTTATTTAATATCTCTTCTTTTCCTAGCTGATTCCTGAAATATGTGGTTTGTAAACCATAAAAATTGATTCAGTGCCATCAACTTTATCCCAAATAGAAGTGATCTGTTTTTCCTTTCAACTCTCATGGCTCCTGATTTGTATAACTCTTTGAACACCCAATATTGACTTGTATTGTGTTCACTGTTTGCATCACTCATAGAGTTGGCAATGCTCTATATGTGCAGTAGGCTCTCATTAAATGATTGCTGAATAAATAACACACATTTTTACCATTTTTCCCTTGTGATACAGTATATGTTGACTTTGTAATCATTAATTTGTCACTTTTGGGGAGATAATATACACACATACTCAAGCTTCATGTTTTGTTCATTTAGGCTGGATATTATTTATAGTTTATAAAAAAAAGCATGTACATATGTATCAATATAATGGGTGTTCTAAATGAGAATAGACAATAGCAGTTTTACCAAGGATTCAAAAAAGAAAAGGTTAAAGTCTTATAATTTTTTCTGTTCACCTGAAACCCAAGTTTTATTCCTTGTTCTAGAGTGGATCACTGAGAAATTAGGATGTAAAAACAAAACTGTTTTAGAAATAAAACTTAAGTCACATTAATAAGACTTGCAGAATACCTAAGTTACAAAGAGTAGCAAAATAGACAATTTTGTCAATGCTTTTTAACATTAGAGAAAAATCGTGGATCACAGTTATGGAGGAAACAAGTTAATTTTTAAAAACGATTTATTTTTAACTTTGAACATATTTATAATTAGATTTGAAAACATGATATTATATATACATTTATGACATTAAAACATCTGATTTAAGAACTTCTCTATCCTATCAACTCCTAGTTAGAACTGCTTTGTCCCTTTTCTCTATTAAACATTAAGAAAGTAACAGATGAGGCCGGGCGTGGTGGCTCATGCCTATAATCCCTGCACTTTGGGAGGCTGAGGCGGGTGGATCACCTGAGGTCAGGAGTTTGAGACCAGCCTGGCTAACATGGTAAAACCCAGTTTCTACTAAAAATGCAAAAATTAGCTGGGCATGGTGGCATGTCCCTGTAATCCCAGCTACTAGGCAGGTTAAGGTGAGAGAATTGCTTAAACCTGGGAGGTGAAGGCTGAAGTGAGCCGAGATCACACCACTCCAGCATGGGCGACAGAGTCAGATTTCATCTCAAAAAAAAAAAAAAAAAAAAAAAAAGATAACAAATGAGAGTATCATCTTAAATTGAACTAATCTTCTGCTTTTGCGGTAAGTTTAAAAGAGCATAGGCTCTGAGTTCTGTGATAGTGCCAACAATAAAGCAGGCAGAATCAGTGCCAATTTGAAAGCAAGACATTTTCTCAAGTTTGAATTTGGATGACCATTTTGTTGAAAAAAATTAACGATAAAATCTGATTTAAAGTATTTGAATTTTTAAGTGAAGTAATTTAATTTCAGAGATCACACTGGAATAGTAAAAAGGAATTAGAGTTATTAGAGTTACAATGAGGGTTCTATTTTTCTTATAATCATGCTGACTTAAGGATGAAGAACTGCTCAAAAGGAAACACCACTCTATCATATTCATCCTGACTCTGGAACAGGATGGAACTCTAGCAGAACCAACATATGCATTAAGGAAAACTATTTCATAGTGAGTTACCTGTAAAAAAAAAAAAAAAAAATCCCCTAAAATAGTAGCTAAACTAAAAGGAATTATCTGCATCAAAATAACTGTACTAAGAGACCTCATTTCATTTAATGACACAATCTAAAGAAGGGTATATTTATTTCACTTGTAAAATGATACTTGTAGTGATCAAATCTAAAGATGTAAAGATTTTTTTCCCCCTATTCTTTTTTTTCTTTGTAAAGATGGGGGTCTCCCTATGTTGCCCAGGCTGGTCTTGAACTCCTGGCCTCAAGCACTCCTCCCACCACAGCTTCTCAAAGTGTTGGAATGATAGGCGTGAGCCACTGAGCTCAGCCAATTTTTCTTGATTAGTTAATAAGGCACATTCAATTTTAAGATATGCAACTGAAATAAAAGTATACCAATACATAATTAAGCAAAGAGCATATGATATACAAACACTTAGGTAAATCTGAAACTAATTTCTTTTCTCATTGTGGAACATAAGTACTAATGTGTGGTTTGAAATTATATTCCAGTCCTACAAACTGGAAAGGTTAAGCGTCAATAATTTGTTGTCACCTTTGCAAATGCTTGGATATATTTTTCAGTTGTACTTGTGTCCTGCATATTATTCTCACATTCTTCTGTACTGGCCAGGGAACTTTCCTGTTCTTTGATCAGAGATGTAGTAGAACATCTTTTCAGTCTGAGATAATCTTTTGAACTGGTGGGAGCAGTCCTAGTGGATTCACTGACAGATATAAATGGTTTTTCTCCTGTTGAACCAGACAAAAGAGCTTGGGTATTTATTAATGCAAGTTCTTCGTCAGCTACTGAATTACTTTCCAAAAGAGAAATTTCACTGAATTTTTTAAATGGAGTCACCTGTGGAGAATTCAATTCTTTTTTCTTTATAGGTGTTTCGTATTTGGTGCCACAACTCCTTGGTGGTTGAAATGCCTTCTGTGCAGCTGGAGAAACAAATGTACAAATGGGACTAACAGGTGGAGGTAAAGGCAGTCTACTCAAGAAATCCAAGGCTCTTCTCTTTTTGCAGTTTTTTTGGTCATCAATCTCTTTCTCCCCTTTACAACAAGACTTTGAAGTCATTTGGGCTGATACAGGTGTGGAAGCAGACTTCCTTTTGGGCATACAACGTGATAAAGGACTTTGATAATTTATATCACAATTAGGAGAAGACATCTGTTAAAAAAAATTAAGTAGTCTATCATAATTATGTTTTAACATAAAAAACTAAATCAAAGTAACTTTTCATTGAAAATATTTAAGCACACAAATATCAAACACAGTCTCCCGCCCCGGATTGCTAATAGGTTAGATAATTTCAGTTCATATTATCCCTATTCTAGAAGGAAATAATTTTGCATAAGAGCATATACAATGATATGAAAAGAAAGAAAGATGAAGAGTAATCATAGTAAAAAAGGAGGTAGGGTCAGATTTCATGAGACTTAAAAATTTAAATTAAAAATAAAAAAGAAAAAAAAGGAGGTAGGGGATGTCAACTTATGCTTTAATCTTTTTTATTATTAACAGGTTAAACAAAGATAAACATTTTAAAGCCATCTTAAGAACACACACTACCTGGGTTCTAATACTTTTCTAGCTTTGGGAACTTACTAGGCAATTGCTTAACCTCTCTCTATGCCATACTCTCCTCATCTATAAAATGAGGATAATACAGTAAAGTCCTCACTTAATGTCACTAGTAAGTTCTTGGAAACTGTGACTTTGAGTCAAACAATGTATAGCAGGTCTTTGAGCAATGTCATTTCCTTCAACATCATTTTGTTAGAACACTGATGAGAAAAAAATATGGTTTTGTTATACAACACTTCCTTAAAATCAGTTTCCAAAAACCTATTGACAATGTTAAGTGAGGACTTAGGTTTTATCTCATAGGGTTGTTATGAGGATTAAATGAGTAAATATAGATACATTTAGCAAATATTAGCTATTTAAGAATGCGCTATTAGCCAGTATTAAAGACTTTAGCTTGATTTGCATCTACTCTGATTTAACCACTTAAACAGCTTAGAAATAACCCTAATTGTACGGAACACTAAAAGAAACAGGCAAAAAACACTTTTCTTTTCTTTTCTTTTTTTTTTTTTTTTTTGAGACGGAGTTTCGCTCTTGTTACCCAGGCTGGAGTGCAATGGCGCGATCTCGGCTCACCGCAACCTCCGCCTCCTGGGTTCAAGCAATTCTCCTGCCTCAGCCTCCTGAGTAGCTGGGATTACAGGCACACGCCACCATGCCCAGCTAATTTTTTGTAGTTTTAGTAGAGACGGGGTTTCACCATGTTGACCAGGATGGTCTCGATCTCTTGACCTCGTGATCCACCCGCCTCGGCCTCCCAAAGTGCTGGGATTACAAGCGTGAGCCACCGCGCCCGGCCAAAAAA